TGCCTGCCATAGAGGCAGGCTGGTGGGGGTGGCAGCAGGTAGGAAACGGACATTGGTGGTGGGAAGTGTGCACTAGTGAAGGGATGGTGTTGGAACATTGTATGACTACAACCCAACATGAATAGCTTTGTAATTGTGCATTTCATGGTGATTCAATTAAAAAAATGAAGAATATCTGCTCAGCCCTCACAAACAGGAAGGTGGAGCTGCTATCCAAATAGGAAAGAAGCCAATTAAGAAGAAACGTTCAGTGGTGTTAACCCATGAGACCTTGGCTTATAATAACTCAAACTGAACCATCTGAGCTGGCTCTCTGCACTTGCCTACGCTTGTCCTTCATCCTTCCCAGGTGTTAGCTTACACTTATTTAATGGAATAGGAGGGAGGTTCTCAAACAAATGAAAAAGAAACATCCCTTAGAACAAACTTAAGAGATTTCAGATAAACTAACAAGCTTAATTTATTAATATCGATATCAATGATATGTTTTCTGTCCTGCAGTTCCCTGCTGTCATTTTCTGAAATCCTTTCAGGAGACACCCAAACCTTTGGTTGGTTTCTGGAAAGAATTTTTTTTTGTTTGGTGGGGGTGGGGTGAGGGTGGTGAGGACACACCCAATTATATAGGAGTTACTCTAGGCTCTGCAATCAGGAATCACTCCTTGCAGTGTGCTTGGGGATCTCTATGGGATGTTGAGAATTGAACCCGATTGGACCCGTGCAAGGCAAGTGCCCTACCCCCTGTACTAACTCTCAGGTCCTGAAGAGACTTCTTTTTGTAGGTTTTGTTTGACTTTATGTGAGTTTTCTGTTGCACAGATCCCAGTATCTTACTTGAGGCCTGCACATAACTCCCTGTGACTGATTCCTATGAGAGCCAAGGCAGTGTAGCCACTTAGATGACCTCTGTCAAAATAACCATTTTCAATGAGCCAAGGAACATATAAAATCTTTACCATAAATAAGACCTATTTTATCAAAGTCCGTTGTACCTAAGGAGATGGCATTTGCTTTATTTAAATTTAAAAGAAACTCTGTTCATGAAAACTTAGAAACCTGGGGCTGACTCAATGCCTCTTTTGCAAACCACAACACCCAAAAGGAGAGAGAGAACAAAAGGGAATGCCCTGTCACAGAGGCGGGGTGGGATGGGGGGGATGGGGGGTGGGAGGGATACTAGGATCCGTGATGGTGGAAAATGGGCACTGGTGGAGGGATGGGTATTTGATCATTGTATAATTGAAACCCAAGCACAAAAATGTGTAAGTCTGTAACTGTACCTCATGGTGTTTCACTAATAAAAATTTAAAAAAAGAAACTTGGGGCTGGAGCAATAGCACAACAGGTAGGGCGTTTGCCCTATACACAGCCTACTCGGGTTCCATCCCCAGCATCCCCAAGCACCACCAGGAGTAAGTCCTGAGTGCATGAGCCAGGAGTAATCCCTGTGCATCGCTGGGTGTAACCCAAAAAGCAAAAAAAAAAAAAAGAGCATACTTAGAACCCTGGGCCCTGGGGATGTGGCTCAGTGGTACAGCGCCTACTTTACAGCTGCGAGATGCAGGTTCCATCCCTCGCACCACCCCCACATCACTGACTGTGATCCCAGAGGCACTGCTTGTTGGGTCCTGTGCTACAACTGTTTCATCTCCTGTGCGCAGTACCCAAGTGCACAACTCTCAGACATTGCAACAACAACCATGGAGAGATAAGGAGAAAGCAATTTATAAACAGAGACTTAAGCCTATGGCATCCACTGCCCTCCCCGAAACACGTCTGCCATAAATTTAAGAATAACTTGACTCAGCATATCAATACCGAGCCTCTCATAGAACCAAGCTCTGCTTGTAGTTCCTTCTGATTTTTGTTATTTGCGCTACGATGGTAAGTACCCTCAGATTCTATGACGTCAACTTCCTCCTGAAGTCTTGAACATGAATTCAACTTTAAGTGTCCTGTCACAGAGATGGTGTAATTCAAGTGCACAAATCATTTGTGAACTCTTAACCAAAAAGGGAAGCATTTTGCTGGTATCATGGGAGACTGAGGGTGGGTAATTAAAATATGCCTCATGACCTCTAGGAATTCATAACCTAAAGGATGAAAAAACACATTTATGGCGGTAATTCATGATATATTCAAGCGATGCTATATAGAAAGGGCTAAAAGAGAGCCCTGCTTCATTCTAAGGCTTGGCACTGTTTAGAGTTTAAGTTTCAGTGTCCTTCGTAGAGAACACAAAGGGATTCTGACTCTCATATTACTTTTCAGACACGACTGGCTACATAATTTGTGGGACCCAGTGCAGAATGAAAATTCAGAGTCCCCTACTCAGACTAAGAATTTCAAAACAATGACAGCATTAAACCACATATGAAGTTCTTTGGAGTGGGGGAACTTGTGTGTCTGCACAGGGCATACACCCTCCAAACTGACACTGTCTTCAAATATAATCTATGAATATGAAGAAGAGGTGAATTTTGAGACATTCAGAAGAAGAAATTATATATAGAAAATTTCCTTCCAAGTCCTCGACTGGAAAATAAAACCACTGTAAAGACAAATTAGAAAATGGGATTGGGGGTGTATAAGATAGAAATGTTACAGTGTATATTGACAGTTTCACAGATTATTTCATGGCTAAGAGGTAAGTATAATACTTGAGCAATTGTAAGGGTAGTAGCTGACATTAATGTATAGAGTGTACCGCGTGCCAGAATTTTTCTCTTAGGTATAGTTACACATTTAACCCTTAAAATAGCCTTGATGGGTATATACTATTATTTCCCTATTTTACTGAACTCAGTCAAGCTCCAGACTAGACTGTGCTCTCCACCACTACTTGTGCTGCCTCTCATATAATAAAAATGCTATGGAACCAAGAACAAGGAAGGAACAAAGGGGTTGGCTCAGTGTTTTCATTTAGATTTAGCTAAAGCAGAGTGTACTGTGTGTAATGAGCATGCCGTTAATGTTTTCTTTTTTTTTCTTTTGCATTTCATGTTTATAGTTTAACAGCACCCGTTCGCCCTCTCCCACTGAGTGTTGCCACATGACCCCATGGAGTCGAAAGGTACTGGCTCTGAGAACACACCTTCAAGGCACTGTCCCACTCTCCAGACACTTGCACTTTCTTCTAACTACACTTTCTACTTTCCTCTAACTTTATGCAAACTCTTGCTTCAAACTAACAGGCCTTCTTTTCAATCCGTTTCGAGAGTGCTACTTTCCTCTCCTGAATGAAGTCAAATATGATTCAGACAGCCATTCTATTGGCGGTTTTCCCGTCTATGTCTCTCCCACACTAAGCTGCAAATAAGGCTCTGTTCAAGACGCCGCTCCTGAACTTTGTAGTTCGGAAGAAAGAAATTCCGAATTGCCCTATATTCATCAGAACTGTAAAGGTTCGGCTTCTCAAATTGAAAAAGAGAGAAAGACAGAGAGTGACAGAGAGATCAGGACAAAAGGATTGTTGAACAGCCAACCATCCCTATGCCATGAAATAAAAACTACTTTTGGCTGCTGGTCGAGTTTGTAGTCAGGTGACTACCCTGTCTTTGTTCTCGAGTCCATTGTTATTCAAGGAAGGAATAGCCTATAAACTGGCCTTCTGGTGGTGGGGGTTTCCAGCCAGCTCTTGCTACCTCTCCCTCTCTTTCTGTCTCTCTTTTTGCATGCGCCAAACTTTTTTTTCCCTCTTGGAAGTTACCTAGGAAACAAAGTCTTTTGTGCTCCAACTTGATTTGAGCTTCAGCTTCACTGGGAATCTGCACAAAAGCTGAAGAGAGAAAGAAGTTTGCGATGCGATGTTTGAGAACACAATTTTCTCAAAGGGGGCAATGTTGGGTGTGTTGGGGCCCTTTGTGGATGCTGCTGAAAAGGTAAGCAAATGCTGGGGGTTAGTTGAAACCACTGGCTCTGGAATCTTCTCTTTAAGGAGTGTGGAGAACAGTTCATTTGACAATATATGAAGTCCTCTGAGTCACCAGGGCCTGATGCTTCCACACATGAAGAGGACAAAAAGAATCTTAACTGATTCTGACTTTAGGAAAGAATATTATTGACACCTAACTTGAAAAAGATGGAACGAATGTTTATTTGTACTTGTCCTCCTCAAATTGCATAAAGAAATTAAACTAGGTTCAATAGTATAATCTGGGTCTTTTAATAATGTGATTTAGAGACCCAACCTTAAAATGAAAATTGAGATAGTGCCTTTTTAATTATCTAAACTAGGAGCTCAACCTCTTAAGTGGAAGTTAGATCATATTAATCTCTATCAAAGGACAGCAGAATTTTCAGAGCTGAGCCAGAGGAAAGAACTTTTATTTTCCCAATCTGAAAAGGAACCCCACCTGACTCCTACTCCCCCCCCCAAGCCAAGAAGAATGGGCTTTTCTGGGTGCAGACAGAGGATGAGGAAGTGGCGTTTGCAAAATGGATCTCAAGCACCAGAGTCCTAGCACAAACCCTGGGTATTTGATTTGAATTTAGAGATTAGATTGGCTTGTCCTTCGGGTGTTGTGTTCTGGAAGTCTCTAGGCCTCCTGGCTCATTTGGGGGAAACATTTTTATCAGCATGTAAATTGTCTCCTTTTGACCCTAGGCTTCTAATGCTGTAGGAGGGGCTTCTAGTGGGAAATGATGGTGAGACAGATATTCAGAAAGTGGACTTACCTCACTGGATCAGAAATTCATTTTTCTTCACGTTGAAGTTTCAGGATTTCTGTCTACTGTGGCTGTTCTTTTAGTTTCATTCGACCTGAAAAGCATGTTGATTTAGCCCATCCCCCCACCTGTCCTCAAGTGCCTTTTGCTACTGCTTGACTATTGAAAGGATAACTTTTAATTGGTTGTACTTACTAACTCTTTCTAGGAACTTTTCCTGTGACCTACAAGCTTATTTCTGACCTGTCATTCTTCACTAACTTATGCAATTCCTTGTATATGAATTTATGTAGAAGACATGATAGACAAGTCTGATTTTACTTCACTTGCAGTCCCATCCCCCGGAGGATGAAGACACTGATGTCATGTTAGGGCAGAGGCCGAAGAACCCAGTACACAATATTCCCTCGACACTGGACAAGCAGACCAACTGGAGCAAAGCACTACCTCTCCCAACTCCAGAGGAGAAGATGAAACAGGATGCCCAAGTGATTTCTTCTTGCATCATTCCCATCAATGTCACTGGTATCATTCTCTTCTTTTCTTACCCGGTAGTGGGGTCAAAATATTCTTTATTTGATTAAATATATTCAGAATCTTTTCTACCGGGCAGACCTGTTGGAATAGCATTGGTAAACAAGCCAACCCAAGCTGTTTTCATCAGAATACACCCCGGAAGATGCTAGTTGTGTTTTTGTCAGGTTTTCAACATCGATTTGCATGTTTTCTGTTTGGCTGCTTGTTATGTAAATGATGGACAGTTTCTTTTGGGGGAGGGGGCGGGAAAGTCACCAAGTAGCAATTTGGACTGAGCAGACTGAAATAATGATGCAGGCCATGGCGATTAATCAAATAATGATGTGTGGCACTGCAAGAAAGAAATAACAAGCCCAAGTTTCTCAGACCGCAAGTAATGATCCTGTAGACCAATTCGACACTCTCTCTTTGCATTTTCTTTTCTGAAGAAGGTAGGCTAGTTTAAAAGATCATTTAGAGTTCTGCATTGATTTTTAGGAACTTTGACCTAAAATTATATGGAGGCATAAAAGACTGATTATACTCTGCATCCAGCAAACCTATCTTCTGCAAATGCTCTGCTTTTCCTCCCCGTCTATTGAGTTAGAAGTTTAGTGAGCCTTCCAGACTTTTCAAAAATTCATTGGCAGCAATTATGAATTCGCAAATTGGATATAGAAATCTCAGTTGTAAATAAACTATTATCAAATATTATAATTTTCAAAGGTAGAAATTAAGTGGTCTGTCCATTAGATTTCCTTTAAATACCTCTAATAGTTATATTTTGTTTGCATATTGAGAATTTCGAAATGGCGTTGTTATGACTGGTATCACCTGGTACCAAACGATTACAGATCGTAGGTTGCTCCAGTTGTATTGTGGACCGGGCCGTTATTAACCCCACTCAAACCTCTTTCATATAAAGTAGGGAACTAGTGATGAGCAGGTATCTGGGTCAGATATTATTTACTTCCTGAAAAAAAAGTCACAGTTAATCAGTAGGTTGTGAGCTAGAAAATAATTTTCCTGATAACTTATTCAGCTTGTGGAATAAATGATTTTAAAATTGTGCACTTATCTGATCTCTGTAATCTAAATAGTATGTATTAAGGGAGTTTAGCTGTCAAAATGGATCTTTTTGGCATTCTCTTAAACTTCAGTTCTGGGAACATCTGCCTATTAGCAACACCTGCTTCCTTCATGGCACTGTAAGTAAAATCTTGTTTTCAAATTTAGTTCTTTCAATTTGGGTCTCTTGATTTAGGAAAAGATAAGATCCTTTCAGGGAATTTCAAGAATTTTCAGATTCAAGTTCAGGTTCTTTGTTGGCTCTGTGAACTTCAGTGCAAAATGTATTAATTATACCCATATACCACAATGTGTGTCCAAATGCCATATATTATTGCTAGGATGAAGGATTTCGATTTTCAGTTGAAACTCAGATGGAAAATCACGTTGAAATAAATTGTCCAATAATTTTGATGCCATGTGTTCTCACAGACTGATTGTTCGGAGTTCTAGAAAATCTGCTGAGCAGAACTCCCTTTCATTTTATAACCGAACTGAGGTTTAACGTGCCATTATGCCCTTTAACAAAATCAGAAAAAATTATGAGGCAACCCGATTTCAAAACTTTCGAATTATGACTTTCGAAAGCTAAGCTCACGTTGAAAAATCCATGGTTTCTGCCTGTACCAGACAGGGCTTTGTGTTCCTCACTTCCTCTCTCATAGTTCTAATTTTGATAGGCCTTTATATATTGTCAATAATCTGATTATGGAGAGAAACACTAATAAACAGCATGATTTGCCCCTGTATTTACTAAAGCTAACAGACACGTGCTGTCAAGACTGAAATTCCAACTTTATTCACAGTTGGTAAAGAAGCTAAATCCACGTAAGAGCAGACCCAGGGATTGTCTTGTATTTTTTTTTATTTTCAAATATTTGAAATTCTATTTTTTTAAATTTTTATTAGTGAAACACCATGAGGTACAGTTGTAGACTTACAAATTTTTGTGCTTGGGTTTCAATTATACAATGATCAAATACCCATCTCTCCACCGGTGCCCATTTTCCACCACTATGGGTCCCAGTATCCCTCCCACCCCCCATCTCCCCCATCCCACCCTGCCTCTGTAGCAGGGCATTCCCTTTTGTTCTCTCTCTCCTTTTGAGTGTTGTGATTTGCAAAAGAGGCATTGACTGGCAGTCATGTTTGGTCTATAGTCTACTTTCAGCATGCTTCTCCCATCCTGGGAGGATCCTCCCAACACCCTTTATTTGGTGCTCCCTTCTCTATCTGAGCTCCCTTTTCCCTTAGCATGTATTTGCCTTGTATTTTTACATTATATTAATAATACACTGTGCTAAACTAGAAATGCAACCACTCTGCTTGCGAGAAGAAAGGAGACAGAGTTAAATGATGATTTAAAAGACAAATCTCTGGGCTGTTGTTTCCTTGCAGCGAGTATGTGTGTGTGTGTTTATGGGCTGGGCAAAGTGGATGGAAGGAGAGAAAAAAAACCCTAACAAAGATGCTTTTAATGAAGAAATGGATGAGGATGTTAGCTGAGTTGATTCAGGTTGACAGCCTGGTTAAGGCTATCAGCTTCAGAGAGCCCAGAAATAGACCAGTAAATCGTAGTAACTGAAGGTTGTAAGTCCTTAAGGAACCATTTCTGTGGGAGAGTGAACCTTTGATGTTATTTTTCTCTCCTCTTTCTTTGGATTTCCCTTCTTGTTACTTTTGGCAGTGTACGCTTTTGTGGAGAGCTGCATTTAGAAGTAAAGCTTAATGTACTGCAGCACAATTTAAATAAGGACTGAATAAGGGCTCTCTTATGTTTGCTCACAGGCTTATCCAAACTCTTCCTTTACTTCCAATCAATAAATATCACTGTGTTCCAACCAAACCAAATTGTGTTTGCCATTTCTAAAGGCTAATGAGACCTATTTGTGGGTTGCAGGAGTTGGTTTTGACAGAGAGGCCAGTATACGCTGCTCTCTTGTACATTCACAATCCGTACTACAGCGCAGACGGAAACTGCGGAGGAGGAAAACCATCTCGGGTATCCCCAGAAGAGTCCAACAAGAAATAGGTGTGGTATCAAAAAATATTTATAGTTAACTTTTTTGTCTGTTGGGTGCAGATTGTAAGATGAAATGAAAGGCAGCCTTTGGTGGGGTTCCTTAAAAATACTAAGCCTTGTTAGTGGTAGAGGTCTTAAAATGGTCTTTTCTGGTTTTTGTATTTAGCCAGCAAGGTAGTATTATATTTTAAATATCTGTTCTGGACTGTTAAAGTTTGACCTTACAGATTTGGGCATGTATTTTCAGGTTTTATGTCTGAAATGTATATTGTGCTACTTTTAAAGTTTCATTAAAGTAGAAATGATGAATAAGAATTAATAATGCTATGAAAGATTCTTTTAGAAAAGTGTATACATTTACCTGAAGATAATATTTCATGATACTACTTATTCCAAAAGTTACAATTAAGCATAGTCAATAAACTATTGAATACTGATAATATAATGTACTTGATGACATTTAAAAATGTTTATTGTTCACTGTATTTTTATCTCTTCCAATGTTGTTATTATTGTTGTTGTAACATCTCTTAAAGATTTACTATTTCTTATAGTAGAATCTATGATCTTTTTATGTTTGCATTACAAAATAACAATGAATAGTGAAGACAAAATGTACTTTTGGATTTTTAATTAAAAATAACTTATTGGGGGTGAAGTAAATTGATAACAAAGAAAGAGAATTTATAAAATATCTTAAAGGCATATCTTTTCTGAATAAATATACATCCATGCGCATAATGAGTATATGTAAAGACAGATTGCCAAGAGCATTTTAACTTTCTCATTTTATTTCCTGTAAGGAAAACCTTCAATATGCAAGCACCCACATTTGCAAACATCTCTCAGAATGTGTGTTAGTTTGCTGATGTATAAAATACCTCTGCTTTCCTTGTGCCCTAGATTCTGATGAATCACCAGTGGCGAGGGAAAGGAACGTGATTGTGCACACAAATCCAGACCCTTCCAACACTGTCAATAGGAGGTCTGGAACCAGGGACTCGGAGTGCCAAACTGAGGATATTCTGATTGCCGCTCCATCCAGAAGGAGAATCAGAGCACAAAGGGGTCAGAGCATTGCAGCTTCCCTTTCTCATTCGGCTGGCAACATTTCCGCATTGGCAGACAAAGGTGACACCATGTTTACAACTGCAGTGAACAGCCGCACAAGATCTCGGAGCCTTCCCCGGGAGGGCAACAGAGGTGGAGATGCTGAGCCCAAAGCTGGCACTAAGCCCTCAGCATATGAAGAGGGAGAGTCTTTTGTGGGTGACCGAGAAAGAAACCCGAATGAAGGCGGGGAGGCCACAAGCAGCCCAAGTACACAAGAACATCAGCCCGCTCTGAGCCTCGCCTGTTCACAGCATCTTCACAGCCCCCAGCACAAGTTAAATGAGAGAGGGAGGTCTCGTCTGTCCCGAATGGCTGCCGACTCTGGCAGCTGTGACATCTCTTCCAACTCAGACACCTTCGGGAGCCCCATTCACTGCATCTCCACAGCTGGCGTCCTCCTCAGCAGCCACATGGACCAGAAAGATGACCACCAGTCCTCCAGTGGTAACTGGAGCGGAAGCAGCTCCACATGCCCCTCGCAGACCTCAGAGACGATCCCTCCTGCAGCCTCTCCTCCCCTCACTGGCTCTTCACACTGTGACTCAGAGTTGTCACTGAACACAGCCCCCCATGCGAATGAGGATGCGAGTGTCTTTGTGTTGGAGCAGTACAATGACCACCTGGATAAAGTGAGAGGCCACCGGGCAAACTCATTTACCTCTACTGTGGCCGATCTGCTGGATGACCCCAACAATAGCAACACAAGCGACAGTGAGTGGAACTACCTACATCATCATCACGATGCCTCCTGCCGCCAGGATTTTAGTCCCGAACGTCCCAAGGCGGATAGCCTGGGCTGCCCGAGCTTCACAAGCATGGCCACTTATGACAGCTTTCTGGAGAAGTCCCCGTCAGACAAAGCAGACACTAGCTCTCACTTTTCAGTGGACACGGAAGGATACTACACTTCCATGCATTTTGACTGTGGTCTCAAAGGTAATAAGAGCTATGTCTGTCACTATGCAGCCCTGGGCCCAGAGAATGGCCAAGGAGTTGGGGTACCTTCTGGCCTTCCAGACTGTGCCTGGCAGGACTACTTAGACCATAGGAGGCAGGGGAGACCTAGCATTTCTTTCAGAAAACCAAAGGCAAAGCCAACCCCACCTAAACGCAGCTCATCGCTGAGGAAGTCTGATGGAAACGCAGATGTTTCTGAGAAGAAAGAACCAAAGATAGGCAGTGGCCAAATCCTGCCTCACAATTCCAGGGAAATGAAGCTGCCGCTTGATTTCTCCAGCACACCTTCTCTAATGGAGACTGCCAATCTTCCCTCCAAGCAGGAGTCTTCTTGGATGAACCAGAATGAACATGGTATCAAGGAACCTCAGTTGGATACTTCAGATATTCCACCATTCAAAGATGAAGGTGCTGAATCAACTCACTATGCAGACCTCTGGCTTTTAAATGACTTGAAAACAAATGATCCTTATAGATCGTTATCCAATTCAAGCACTGCTACGGGTACCACAGTTATTGAATGCATCAAATCTCCAGAGAGCTCTGAATCCCAAACATCCCAATCAGAATCAAGAGCCACGACCCCATCCCTTCCTTCTGTTGACAATGAGTTTAAACTGGCTTCACCAGAAAAGTTGGCTGGCTTGGCATCACCATCAAGTGGCTACTCAAGCCAGTCTGAAACACCCACATCTTCTTTTCCTACGGCTTTCTTCTCTGGCCCCTTGTCTCCTGGAGGTAGCAAAAGAAAACCAAAAGTCCCAGAAAGGAAATCCTCACTCCAGCAGCCTTCTCTGAAAGATGGAGCTTTAGCACTGAGTAAGGATCTTGAACTTCCAATAATACCTCCTACCCATCTTGACCTAAGTGCTCTTCATAATGTCTTGAATAAACCATTCCATCACCGTCACCCATTGCATGTTTTCAGTCACAGTAAGCAGAACACAGTAGGAGAAACACTAAGGTCGAATCCTCCTCCATCCCTTGCAATTACACCGACTGTCCTAAAATCTGTGAATCTTAGATCCATCAGTAAATCTGAAGAAGCGAAGCAAAAAGAAGGCAACAATCCAGATCTTGCCTATTTAGAGGAAAGTGCTCTCACAATGGCCACCCTGTCTCCAAGTAAGATTAGGCCACACGTGGCTAACAAATCATTATCACGTCAATATTCTACTGAAGACACCCTACTGTCCTTTTTAGATTCCTCTGCAATTGAGATGGGGCCAGATAAACTACAGTTAGAAAAGAAACGTATGTTTGACATGAAGAATCCTTGTGATCCAGAAACAGTAACTGTAGCTGGCAGCAATCTTCTAGATTCAAATGTCACAAAAGACCAGATCCATATGGAGAGCGAACCCGTTCCAGAAAACACAAGTAAAAATGGTGACATTCTCACAGAAGGATTTCAGAGGGTCTCTGTGGCCCGTCCAAATGATACTGATGGCAAGACACTACAATATGGAGCTGGCCTGGATGGAACCCGAGCACAGGCCCAGAAGGCACCCTCCGTAGATCAGGAGGAAGGTGCACAACCTGAGTCTGTGGATGTGTTCGCATCTCAATCAAATTCAGCATCAAGAGTCACAGACAAAGGCAATCAACTTAAGCAACAGCTTGGGATGAGCCGCCCCCATGACAAAGTGCCTGGGAATGTCAACTACAGAGCAGAGATATCAACTTTAAATTCATGCCCTGAAAAATATTCTGAGCAGGAAAATATCGCTTCAGGTATTTCAGCCAAAAGTGCCTCTGATTACAGCGGAACAGAGGAGACTCCAGGGAGTATGGATGAGGCGTCATTCAAAGGTCAGTGTTGTTACCTTTATTATAAGGGAAAGGTGTCTTATGACCCTAACTGAGGTGTGTCTTTCTCACGCTTCCTATAATAATCCTAGTATTAGTTTTTGTCCAATATTTCTTTTCACATACAAAGACAATTAAGATTAATCATGACAGGGGCCGGAGCGATAGCACACGGGGTAGGGCGTTTGCCTTGCACGCAGCCGACCCGAGTTCTATCCCTGGCATCCCATATGGTCCCCTGTGCACTACCAGGAGTAATTCCTGAGTGCAAAGCCAGGAGTAAACCCTGAGCATTGCTGGGTGTGACCCCCCCAAAAAAGGGGGAAAAAGATTAATCATGCCAGATAGTGTACTCATTTTTAAAATGGCAGTAAGGGAATTGTTGTGTGTTTATTCCCTAAGTTAGGCCAACTTCCTACTAAAGACGGTTTTGTGTTTTAATTTAAGAATCATCGCCAAGTGACGACTCTCTGATTTCACCGCTCAGTGAAGACTCTCAGGCTGAAGGAGAAGGCGTGTTCGTGTCTCCCAACAAACCTCGAACTACTGAGGATTTGTTCGCAGTCATTCACAGGTGAGGCAACAGTAGTAAAGGTTTTGCTTCTTATAGAATATCTCATCAAATTGCAATATGGGAACCTTTTCATTCTTATAGTATATTCAGCAAAAATGAAAGAAAATTTTGGAGTCAAATTGATAGACATGCATTTAATTAGGAACTGTAGCACTGTAGCACTGTCCTCCTGTTGTTCATCTATTTGCTCGAGCAAGCCCAATAATGTCTCCATTGTGAGACTTCTTGTTACTGTGTTTGGCATATCGAATACGTCACAGGTAGCTTGCTAGGCTCTGCCATGCGGGTATTATACTCTCGGTAGCTTGCCGGGCTCTCCAAGAGGGGCGGAGGAATTGAACCCGAGTCGGCAGGACCGGCCGCATGCAAGGCAAACGCCCTACCTCTGTGCGATTTTATATATTTAACAAGATCTCACTTGAGAGGTTTTTCATAAGAATTGCTGAGGGAAAGTGTTTTTCATTTTTTTGGGGGGGTGTGAATGTTGGGCCACACCTTGCCATAGTTCAAAAGCCACTCCTGGCTTTGTGCTCAAAATTGACCTCTGGTAGTACTCAGGCATGAATATGGGGTGCCAGGTATTGAATCTGGGTTAGCAGTGTACAAGCCAAACACCCTACCTACTGTGTTGTTGCTCAGGTCCCTTTAAGGGAACATTTTATTGTTGCATGAATGTTCGTTAGGCAGTCTGAGGCGCTGAGATAAGAATTCACAAGGAAATTAAATAATTCACAGAGGATCACAGACTCGCTCAGGTTTTGTGACAAAGAGCAGTCTTTTCAGCCTCCTTTTATTTGCTGGCTTATTATAATCACATCCAATGAAATTTAACAGTGTGCTAAAAATCACTAATGAAATTCAACAACATGGTACCAGACCGTGATCAATTAAAAGAAGAAAGACATAATCAGTCACAAGAGGAAAAACATGGTCAATTACATACGTCATGTCCTCCTCACACCTGAAAACATCATCAATTACATCACGACCTCATCACACCTGGGGTCTGTGATTAACTAGAAGAGGATGGTTTAAATCTAAAGTTTAGGTAGGTCTGAAATATGTGAGAAGGGGAAGCAGCTATTTTGTGCTGCAGGAATTTGCTGGCCACAGGGGTTAGTTTTGCCTTTTCCATATCAATCAGACTCTCAAGCTTATGCTCGCCCAATTAGTGCAATGTGGGGTCCTGGATCTGCTTCCTGCTTGCAGGGCAGCATCCAAGGACTCATCTTCATGATCTGGTTGGGCACCAACATTTTATTTCCACTGATATTGTCCTTTCATAAAGAAAGCGTACTGCTCTCAATTTTTTTAAAAAAATGAACCCATCAGAGAAACCGTCTGTATATGCCTGTGTCGTGCAATTTTCCACTCAGAAGGTGAAGAATCGTTTTTATTTTTCTTTGCCCCTATGTGTAGTAGAAGCACTGGCTAGAACCCCTCGTCTTACTTGATCCTCAACTGTAAGGCAAATCACTAAAGTATAGTGGAAGTTAAAGAGCCAAGGTCTTTGCTCTGAGAACCAAATGCCAATGCATGGAATTTGGTGAGAGATTATAGGGGGTGACACCACAAAGACCTGAAATCGAATCACAGTTTGCCAGGACTACCCAGTCTTCAGTTGGTTGAAACCTCTGTACCCATTCTCGTAAGGTGCATGGGAATCCTCTAACTCAATATTCAGTTTTGATTATAAAAAAACATTTTAGCAGCTAAACTGTCATAAATGTTAAAAGGCATACTACTAGTTTGAGATGTCCACCCTATTAGAATGCCATTGCTAGTATACAAAACATAATAACCACAGAGGTTTCCTCAAAGGAAAATCAAGCTAGTCTCTCACCACAAGGCTGATATTCTATCTGCCACCTGGACTTTTAGGTGAGAGCACACGTGGCCAATACTTACTGGTAAACTGAGTTACACTAATGACTGAATTTATGTTTATTGACCTACCAAAAAATAACATATAATAGGTGCTTAGACCTCTTGTAGGCTGAGTTTGGTAACCTTAGATTGACATTCGTATGATGTTTACCTATGTACATCACAGCGATATGAATGCTTTTGTTTTCTCAAACGCTGACACTATACACAGGTTTAGAGCTCCAGAGGCATCTAAGTTGTCAGCTTCTCACTGAAAGTCAGCTTACTGATTTACATTGATGTTCCCAGACAGCTATGAAAAATGATACCTGTGTTGGAGTGGGGCTGGAGCGATAGCACAGCGGGTAGGGCGTTTGCCTTGCATGCGGCCGACCCGGGTTCGATTCCTCCATCCTTCTTGGAGAGCCCAGCAAGCTACCGAGAGTATCCCGCCCGCACGGCAGAGCCTGGCAAGCTCCCTGTGGCGTAGTCGATATGCAAAAAACAGCAACAGCAAGTCTCACACTGGAGACATTACTGGTGCCCACTCGAGCAAATCGAACAACACGAGGACAGTGCTACAGTGCTACAGTGTTGGAGTGATAGCACAGGCGTTAAGGTGCTTGAATTGCATGCAACTGCAACCAGGGGTCATTCCTGAGCACAGAACCAAAAATAGCCCAAGTACTGCCCAATATGCCACCCCCCATTAAAAAAAGAAAAGAAAAGACAAATTTGCAGCAAAAATGGGTTCAAGAAGTAGACAGTGCAACCCACACATATAAACACCTGCCAATCTCTGAAGCTGATCAGACTCTGGCTGATCCTGCCTGACCCATACCGCCATCCACTTTACTCTTCTGATGTATGTTGGCAGAGCAAAAACAGCCTTTGCCTATTTTATGTATATTCAAAAATATACATATTTGAGCAAAGAAAGAAACCGTCCTTCATTGCGTACACTCTGACCTGGAGCCAGATGCGTGCTTGTAAAATACCCCAATAAGTCTTTCTCTAGAACGTTCATCTATGTTCACCCTCGTTATTTGAAATGGTCGTTTCCAGAACCTAGTTCCTGTCTGTTCTTTGAGGGAGGGACTTTCCCTTAAGCTTGGAGTGCCACACAGGCAAGGACTGCGTCTGTCCCTGTCCCCCTAGAGCCAGAGCTTCAATGTTTGATGGGCAATGGAAATGCTCGTGAAGACACCTTAACGGTAACTTAACACTTCTAGTTTCAGGAAAGTGTATCCAGGCTGATAGTTTTACCTCGTGCCTCTCTTTCTTTTTTATCTTTTTTTATTTTGATTTTTATTAGTGAAACACCATGAGGCACAGTTGTAGATTTACACATTTTTGTGCTTGGGTTTCAGTTATACAGTGATCGAATACCCATCCCTCCACCAGTGCCCATTCTCCACCACCACTGATCCCAGTATCTCTCCCACCCCCCGTCCCTCCCCATCCCACCCTGCCTTTGTGGCAAGGCATTCCCCCTTGTTCTCTCTCTCCTTTTGGGTGCTGTGGTTTGCAAAAGAGGCATTGAGTGGCAATCGTGTTCAGTCTAAAGTCTACTTTCATCATGCTTCTCCCATCCTGGGAGGATCCTCCCAACACCCTTTATTTGGTCCTCCCTTTTCTATCTGAGTTGCCTTTTCCCCCAGCATGTGCAGCTGGCCTCCAAGCCACGGAGTAAACCTCCTGGTACTCAAAACCTGGTACTCTACTATTCTTGACACCCCCCTCTTTCTTTTTTTAAAAGGTCCAAGAGGAAAGTACTGGGCCGAAAAGATTCTGGCGACATGTCTGTCCGCAGCAAATCCAGAGCTGCCCTTGGCAGCAGTGCCAGCAGTGGTGGCGGCGGCGGCGGTGGTGGTGGTGGCGGCGGCGGCAGCGGCAGTGGCGGTGGCAGTGGCAACGCCGCTTCGGTGACTTCGCCCAGCAGTACCGGGCCGGCCTCCAATAGCCAGAGGTCTCCTGGCCTCATCTACCGAAGTGCCAAGAAGTCCAACACGTCCAACGAAGAGTTTAAGCTGTTACTCCTCAAAAAAGGCAGTCGCTCCGATTCCAGTTACCGCATGTCTGCGACTGAGATCCTCAAGAGTCCCATCTTGCCCAAGCCCCCTGGCGAACTCGTGGCTGAGTCCCCCCAAGGCACCCATGAGGCCCAAGCAGGGGCCACCGGGTCGGAGGCATTGTCCCCACTCTCTCCGTGCCCCCCACGGGTTAATGCAGAAGGGTTTTCTGCAAAGAACTTTGGCACCTCGGCGGCTGCCCGGGTTGGCCGGTCCCGGGTGCCCCCTGTAGCAAGCAGCAGCCGCTATAGCGTCCGCTGCAGGCTGTACAACGCCCCCATGCAGGCCATCTCTGAGGGCGAGACGGAAAACTCCGATGGCAGCCCCCATGATGACCGATCCTCCCAGAGCTCAACCTAGAGGGACCGCCCAAGGCGACGGGCAAAGACCGAACCCTCAGTCCTGGGAGGTGGGGAAAGGGATTGGGGCTGGGGAGCAGCTAGTTAGCGCATCGTGGGCTGCCCTCGCTGGATTCCAAGTTGAATTCCAGTAAATCGTTGGAATATATATGCTGGGGAAACCAAGTAGGTTGGTCTTTTCTTGATTATTGTCCATGCTTTTAAATAGCTGCACTGTCCTGCATATTTTTTTCCTTTAGCTTAGTTTGAGTTGCCCAATCTCATTCCTTTTGATAATACAGAATTCAAACTGTCTGCTTTTCATGAAACCTAGAGAAAGTTTGCCCAGAGCTGCCTATTCAGAAAACAAAGCCCTCACTGTCACTCACGATTCTTAAGAAGATGAAAAATTACTCCGGAGGTTTGGTATTTTTTTACATTCAAATGAACTAAAGCAAAATTTAGAAGAAAGACCTACACATGTGTAAATATCATATTTTTGATAAAAATGTGTACATAGATTTATCGATAACGAGTGGACATGTGGCCAATTATCTACCACACACCAACTGTTTATAGAACACAAAAAATAAAGTGTAATAACTGTATTCTGTGAATACCATTTTCATATCAAATACCATATTTAAATGTCCACCAATATTTCTGAGAGATAAACCTCAACTATGAATTTTAAACTGGAGAAATAAAGGAAAACTTGAGGTCATATACTGAAATGCGGTTCATTTAAAACAATGAATTCAGACCTAACCATTTTTTGTGACAAATTTGCAGCAACAAGCTAATAGTAACACGTGGCAGTGATCTGCCATGTGGTGATTTGGACAGAATGAAAAGCATGCTTTTGATTTTTTTGTTTTGAATCAATGAGAAAACTCATCATCCTTAACACAGAGCCCTGAACAACAGCATTTGACAGTGTCCTTTACTCTATTTTTTTCCAATGGATTGCTTTAAAGAGGATGAGTAGGGAAAACCGTAGTTAATTTTGTTATGTTTTGTATTAGGCTCATGGGGTCAGGCCATGGTCATAATCGAATGACTATATTGAAACTCCTTAAAACAGTTTAGCAAGTAACTCCAATTTCTTTAACAAAAATGAAATGTAAGCATGCCACAGAGCTGTTGATTTTTCAGTACCTGCAATGAGTTTTCAGTGAAACTTTCTCTCTGTGCTGATGACATTCATGCTACCTAAAAATGAACAGAAATGACACTGTGAACAATGTAGTTGGGAAATAGGTATGTTGTGTATATGTATTATTTATATTCACTCTTAAACTGGGAATGGGATACAGCTCTGGTTCACAATACTACATACAACCAAGTTTTTGTCTGACTTTACTATATCTGCTTGATGGCAAAAGGGGAGGGTGGTGGGTGGGAACGGAAACATCAGGGCAAGTGCTCTGAGCAAATGAAGGCAGGGAAACAAGCTGAATTACTTGAAATTACTTGAATTTTCTTGTCTTAAAACTGAGAAAAAAATGTAGTTACAAGTTGAAATCTGCAAGTGGTTTTTACACCTCCGATTTTAACATGATGAACTGTACTAGTGTTTGAAGTGATATGTCAGAAAATATAAGCAGCTATGTACGTAGAATATGCTTTGAATGGAAGAAGGTAGAAAGTAGAAAGACCTAAGCTGGGTTGTGGCCTATAAAAGAATAGAATGGGATTAGAATGATAGGGTCTACCAGAGTTACGAAGAAATTCATAAGCAGCTGGCTTTAAGATGATGCAAGCGCTATTTGGATACGTAGAATGTGTGAAACGGGAGTTGTGGTGGTGGTTTCACTCCTGTAACAGAGTGGAGAAAGCCCGGTCTAAGAAGATGCTGTCTTTCAATAGAAACAGTTTCTAAAATGTTACAGATGAACAACTAGAGCATCTGATTGCTGTTGTTGTTTTTTTTTGTTGTTGTTATTTGTAAAGAAAAAAAATGGCTTCTATCTGTTTTCACTATCAAATTGTGTTTTTTGATTTCTTGTCATTCTTGTATGTAAAATGGGTGCTGGGGGTGGTGGGGTTGCAGAGGGAGAGAGAGAGAGAAAGAGAGAGAGAGTGGTGTGTATGTGTGTGTGTGTGTGAGTGTGTGTGTGTGTATGTATGGGTGTCTGTGCTGGGATAGATAAGCTACTTGGTAAAGGGTACATGTGAACATTTACAAAGTGTTACACTTTTTCTTAAAAAGAAAAACGTTTGGGGGTTTGAAAAAACGAATTCTCATTTTTCATTGGAACTCATTAGTTAAGAAAATCAGCATGGTTTGACACCACGTGGGAACATGAATAACTTTTTCTCATACTTCAAAAAAAATACACTTGGCAAAATTTAAAAAATAAAGTTTATAGAGAAATGCAAGGAGAAGCAGGTGTTTCCAGTCACAGTAGGTGATCTTTTGTAATTTTCATAAAAGCAGTTCGTTTGCAGTATGGCTTTTGTGTAGTTAGGGGTTTTTTAAGTGTAAAGAAAGGTATGTGGGCTTTAAAAGTGATCTAAATCTTGAATAGAAAATACATGAATTGGCTTTAATTAAAAAAATGTCACCTTATTATTAATTTAAGTAATGGTATCATATATATTTTAAAATACATATTGACTTGAACTGTGAGGCAATAAGATACCTTCTATATGTAATGATCACAGAACTAACCCTTATAATATAGTTTTACTTATTTTGTTTACTCTAAAAATCTATAGCAGAGTTTCTCTATTTTATATGTCATAGATTTAAAAATAACCCAAATAAATATGGAATTTAAATTCACTGTGGAAGAGTACTAAGTAATAAAGTGAGTTTAAAAAAAAAGCAAAAAATTCCTTAGTAATCTGGAATATTCTACATGACTTCATTAACATTGCATAGAAAACCAAGATTTAGAGGGCTGTCTTCAAAATCACTGCAGGGTACACACATTAGGTATTGTGAAGAACATCAATCCAAACTTTTCTTCTGTTTGCACTGATGCTAATTTTCAGTTCTTTTATGTTTCTACAACGTGTCTGTATTGTGTGGGGGATTTTTTTTTAATTTTTTTTTTTTGGCTAAGTAGAGGACATGGACTAGTCATAGCAAGCTAAACACACTGTTTGCTCTTGCCAAAGGTCAGTAAGGATGTTTGCTGCAGTGAAGGCAGATTTAGAGAACTAGATCATGACAAAGATTTAAAAGAAGGTTACAGTGTAACTATTTTGGTACTAGAACCAGTTCATGCTGGCCGAAAGACAATGGTTTATGGACTTGCATCCGTTTTTGTATTTTTGTAATATTTGTAAATATGAACTTTTTAAATTGTTGCAAAAATGGTTTTTTTGGTAAGATGTTTTCAACGTTTACATTCAATCCAAGCCTTTGTATATTTTAGAGCTGTGCAACACTTTAAGTCTTGTATTTATTTTTAGTAAAATGGTGACAGTCTCATTGTGAACCCCTCAAAAATGTACCAGAAAAGTTTGATTACCTAGAAAGTGTGTATAGAAACTGCAAATAAACGTGACTGCAATTAATCAACCAGTTTCTCTTCATTGTTGTGTAACTGAATTATTGGGATATGTGACAATAGTAGAGGGGACCTGCTGTAACAATGGGCAAAGTAGCAATGACGATAACAAATAATTATAATAATTTCATGGATGCTAACCTAGCTTTGCATTTGAGAGGAAAATGAATTCATTTCCAATGTCCCGAATATATTTCTTGTAAACCCTCTCAGGTAGGTAAAGATTAGAGCTTTACTTTGAAATATTCATGTGGTTTGCTTCCAATAATTACTCAGTGTGTGCCTCCTTCCCGGGACGGGCGCTGTGGTGGCAATGTCACATACCCTTTAGTACACAGCACATTTGTGTGTCAGTGACTGTTCTAAGCACTCACTCTTGTCCTCTCCACGGTTGCCCATTTTTAATAGGTGGACAAAAGAACAGCGCCGAAAAGCAAAGAAAAGGTCAGGCTGAGATTCAACCCGGGAAACTGGGCTCCTGGACCTGTATTTCTTGGGGGGAGGGGGAGGACGTGCTTTTGAGTCACACCCAGAGGTGCTGGAGGGTTATCGTCCCAGCACGGTCACTACTGAGGGCAGGGGGTACCAAATGCAGTTCTGGAGCTCGACCAGTCCGCTGCATGCAAGGCAAACTCCTCATCCTCTGTACAATCTTTCTGGTGCCCGCCCCCTACGACTTTTCAGAATCACTTCCTGGTCTGGAGACATGACGGGGTAGGGTGTTTTCCTTGCCTACGGTTTACCTGGGTCTGATCCCTGACACCCCTTGGAAACCCCTGAGTCCACCAGGAGTGATCCCTGAGCACAGAGGCAAAACCGAAAAACTTCAAAGCGCCAAAGACCAGGAAAAGGCCATGCACCTGACCGCTTCGCCTCGGCCAGCTGCTTCCCGGAACCATGGCCGTCTCCAAAGAATTCTCAGCTGCAAAGCTACCAGATACAGCTCTCCGCTCCGGAGGCTGATGTCTGTGGTAGACCTAGTGTGTGTGGGGGGGGGGGGCGGGGGGCGAGGGAGAGCAGGGGTTGCCAATGCCACCAGCACCAGTGAATCTGCTCTGATGCCAAACCACAGGGCTTCGAGGTGGTTCCTGCTCGCGTGCAAGCGGGCTGGGAGGTCGTTTCCCACGGTTGACGTCCTTGGAACTGCAGCGGGCAGGCGCAGGCGCGGGAGTGGGCGCGGGCTCACGAGGAATTGCAGTTAACGGATCTGACAAAGGCCGTTGATTGGCCACAGGAAGGCCCCCGCCCTCACCGAGACCTCGCGGGCTTTCCGGTTGGACGAGGTCCGGTAAGCCTCGTGCTGTCTGCAGCGTGCATGCAATCTTGGTTGGGTCTCGTTGCACAGGCTTGCAGCTGCTGGATTCGCGTGCCCTCGAGACCAGCAGAGCGGACTCAGGCACCTGAGGAGGTAGGTCCTGGAGAATCCTTTGCTGCATGTTGTACTTTGTGGCTTGAAGTGTGTTTGAACTGAGAGCAGTAACTCTTGGTTCGTGACCTGGAATAACTGCTGTGCTTGGAGGGTGGAGGTTTGCAGTGGGGGAGCGCAGGGGGGAGGGGTGACCGTTGGGAAAATGTCGTTTTTTTTTTCGTTTCTTGGCTGGAAACCGCTTGGAGA